GCCCTCGTCGGGGAACTGAGCAGCTTCATTAGGGTGACATTTATGACACGCTTGTTCTCACCCAGCTGCAGACTCAAAAAGTGACATAAAAACCAAAATAAAACCAGCAAGAGTCAAATATTCTGTATCATCAGAGACTTCTTTAAATCACCATGATTGAACTCCAGCGGGGTTTTTTTTTCAAGTTTTATCTTTTATTCAAAAAGGGCAGATGATTATGAAACAAACATTTCTGTACCTATCACCAAAAATGAACAAATATTAACATTTTCCATTTTCACTTCAGGTTTTTCATAAGAAATTATGTACTCCATTTTCCCTCCATTTTATTTATGTTTAAAAAGCTTATGTACATTTAGCGCTGTTTGGGGGGGTTAATTTACATAAATATATATCATACTTTCTTCCAAATCACTTTTCTCACTCATTGATGATCCATCCATGTATGAACTGTTATATATATACACACACACATATATGTATATAGTAGTTTTTTTCATTTCCCTGATGGGCATTTGCATTGTTTCTATTTTTGACTGTTACACAAAACTTATTCTTGCATGAGTCTTCTTATGCATATATGCCAGCATGTCTAAGATATATGCCGGTCAGAGTAAAAATAGTATTTGCCAAATTATACGTTTACAGGAGTTCCCTTTGCTCGGCATTCTCATCAACGCTAGATATGGACAGACTTTAGTTTTTTGCCATTGTGAAGGGTGTGTCTATAATTTACCTTTTCCTGACAAAGTCATGATGCCTCTTTTCGTGTTTATTAAACCTTATTTCCTCTTCTGTGAATTTCCCATTCTTATCTTTTAAAAATTTGCTGTTGGATTTTCTCTATTTAGTGTACGTTTAGACAGCTTATTCTACCTGGTACAAATGTTGCAGATACCTTCTAGGCTGACACTTGTCTTTGTTTATGGGGGTTTTGTCCTATAGGTTTTCATTTCAGGGTAGTCACATTTAACCACCCTTTTTATGATCTCTGCTATTTGTATCTTGCTAAAGAAATCCTTCCCGATCCTGAGGTCACTACGTTTTTTTAGGGTTTTTTTCTTTTCATAGTTTTACAGTCTTTACATTTTTTTAATTCAGTTACTGCTGGGGTATAGTAACTATTGATTTTTATACAGCAACTCTGTATCCAAAAAAATCAGTGTTTCTGTCTCTTTCTGCTTCCCTCCCTCCCTCCGTCTCTGGAAATCAATGGAGGAAGTGTCCTCTGGTAAAGAAGGAAGGAAGGAAGGAAGGAAGGAAGGAAGGAAGGAAGGAAGGAAGGAAGG